TCAGCAGGAGCCTGAATAATATTACAGGATCGGGCTTCAAATGTAAGGGCAACAGAATTTAAATACATTAAGATAGATCTTCTCTTAATCCTGAGATGTAGAACGTTAGTTAGAGGAGGAAAGATCTGTAGCTTTAGCTCATTACTTCTTGTCTTAGCCACCGCAGGCTGATTTCTCCACGTGTTCTTGTACTGTTTTGTTTTCAGGGACAGCTCTGTTGCTTAGACCAGGCTGCTGCAAGGATGGGGCCCCTGGAAGCAGCAGGTGAAGAAAACCAGACAGATGAAACGAAAGCGGAGCTGTTCACCAAGCTGTACTTGCCGAGATACACCACACCGCTCAACGAATTAGCTCTGGACCCTAAACCAGAACTGAAGGACAGCACAACACTAGTTGAAGTGCAGATAATCCTCATCTTTGCCTACTGCTCCATCATTCTGCTGGGGGTGATTGGAAACTCCCTGGTGATCCACGTGATCATCAAGTTCAAAAGCATGCGCACAGTGACTAACTTCTTCATTGCCAACCTGGCTGTGGCTGACCTGCTGGTGAATACATTGTGCCTGCCCTTCACTTTGGTTTACACACTGTTGGGCGAATGGAAACTGGGCCCAGTCTTGTGCCACCTGGTGCCTTATGCCCAGGCTCTTGCTGTGCACGTCTCTACTGTTACTTTGACTGTGATTGCTTTGGATCGGCACCGCTGCATCGTCTACCACTTGGAAAGCAAAATCTCTAAGCGGATCAGCTTCCTGATTATAGGAGTGGCTTGGGCAGTCAGTGCCCTGTTGGCAAGTCCTCTGGCCATCTTCCGTGAGTACTCGCTGATTGAGATCATTCCCGACTTCAAGATTGTGGTCTGCTCTGAGAAGTGGCCAGGAGAGGGGCAACTCAACTATGGCACCATCTACAGCATCTCCATGCTCCTGATCCAGTACGTGCTGCCTCTGGCGGTCATCTCCTATGCCTACGCCCGTATTTGGACCAAGCTCAAGAACCACGTTAGTCCTGGGGTGGGCAATGACCACTACCACCACCGGCGGCGGAAAACCACCAAGATGCTGGTGTGTGTGGTTGTGGTGTTTGCCGTCAGCTGGCTGCCATTTCACACCTTCCAGCTAGTCAGTGACATTGACAGTCAGGTATTAGACCTGAAAGAGTACAAACTGATCTACACAGTGTTTCATGTCATTGCCATGTGCTCAACGTTTGCTAACCCCCTTCTCTATGGCTGGATGAATAACAACTACAGGACGGCCTTCCTCACGGCCTTCCAGTGTGAACAGCGGCTGGACTCCATCCACCCTGAAGTATCAGCAGCTTTCAAAGCCAGGAAGAAACTAGAAGCAAAGAGGATTCAGTTCCCTGGAGACTCTTTCACACAACCTACCAATGTCTAAGATGTCTGACTTTAAAGAAGAAATGAATATGTTGTGGACAAAGGAATAAATCCATTTTGACACATGCATTTTTAATGCATAGTTTTATTGATAAATGCTGAAAGAAAAGTATCAGGGAAGTCAAGGCAGGTGGTATGATTTGAGGGGAGTCGATTGGCATCAAGAGTATCTAACTATACAACTGTAAAGAAATAAAAAGGAGAGACTTCTGTTTATGGCTGTCTCTAACATGGTAGGAGACGCTCCCATCCCTCCCATCTCTTTGACAAGTCTAAATGGCAAAGGCAGAGTTTGCCGGTTTTGCTATAGGAAGGCAGACGGCTGATTTGTAGCACAGGAATGTTGATGGTGGTAGCAGGTAATTTTTATATTGGATATGGAGATCAGGTAGAGGAGAAGTCTGACAGGAGCATGAAGCCTGTCTGGGGAAAATGGGCTGTGCTGGTTAAAGCTCAAACTTTTCAAACCCCTTCTCTCCCACAGGCATCTTTTGCAAAGATAAAGGAATTAAGAAGAGAAATATGTTACTGTTTTTTGACTTGTACTTCAGTACAAGTACTGAAGTACTTCAAACCAGAACATTTGAAATGGATTAGGGGAAAAAAAGGAAAAAGAAAGGAAAAAAAAAAACAACAAACCCACCCGAACAACAGATTCAATGTGAAGAAAGGTCAAGTTTCTACATAAAGTGGAATGTGGGTCTTAGTCAATCAAATGGGGTAAAAAGTCATTCCTTAAGAACGAGCTGTGGTTATGCTGGCGAGAAATTCGCAAGCCTGTGACCTGATCAGTCATTCCCTGCAGGTCCCTACCTTTCATTCTGCCCTGGGAACAGCTCACAAACACAGTGCTTTAAAGCGGCATTTGAGGGCAGGGGATGCAGGCTCAGCTCTTCTGTGAGCACTTCCTAAACTGCCAATATTTTAATTTTCAGGACCTGCTTAAATGTCTAACATGTTATTAACTCCACAGGCTTTGAATTGTTGCTGCTTTCTCCCTGGATAATAAAACAGCAGATAATTTTGATCCTCTGGAAAGGCTGCTAGATGGTAATGTGCTTTTCCTTATTGTGGTTTTATGTCACACACTCATCTCGTCTTGGAGCTTTTTCCATCTTTAGCCTTTGTAAAAATTAAGAACAAATGAATGACTGTAACCTAATAACAGTATGCTAGGTTTATGTGATAACTTATCAGTTATTCTGCATGCTGTAGTTAATAGTTAAATTCCTTTTTTTGCTCAGGTATAAAATTTTAATCTGTTTACTGTGTTGTACACAGCAATGTTCAACTCTTCTGTCTCTTTGTTTAGCCTCTTTGAACTCATTAAAGAGACGAAGAAAATTTGAATCCATGTTTATTCCAAGCTGCCCTGTTGCTTATCTAGAATAAAAATAAGTGTGATACTTTCACTTGGAGTCTCTTTCCACAGCTACATTTCAGCTGCCTCATTTTTTTCTCTCCATTTTTCGTTGTTCCTAAATTCATTGTGTTCTCTCTTACAAATTAAAAACCAACAAAACTCCAGTACTGAAGTGTTAGCAACGTAATGAATGGTATCAGATCTTTATCAAGTGGAGAAATTCATCTTTGTGTATGCAGTATTTGGCACCATCCTTTAAATATCCATGAAATCAGTTGGACTTGGATTTTCATGAACAGAGATGGGAGGTCTAGAGAATTAGCTAGTGTTTACTCAAGCAGGAAAAAGTATCCATCATTCTTAAACAGTTTTACAAAAATAGATTAATTCTCAACCATGTTGAGAACATGATATTGTCCATAAGTTATTTCTGTCTGAGTATTAATAATATCCAAAATGTAAGCTCAAAACTGTTACGGGTGAGGAAGGATTACAGAAGTGTGCAATTATTATGGACATCAATCATATGTATCAGTTACAGTTGACTCTGAACCCTTCATCAAAAGTATTATTGCCACAAATAGCCTCCTTTATTTAAAAATCAAATGTTTTAAAAGTTCTGTTTCAACTCTTTTAAGCCTGTTAGTGTGTGGTATATAGACAGTTTTGAAGTAACCATGACAGTGTGTGCTAAAGCTACAGTTGCCAGGCCAGTTCTTTGTAATTTTAAGTCTGCTTTACGTCATCGTGTATAAAAGTGATTAATTACAAATTATCTTTCAGTCTGTTTCATGGTATCTTTCTTTTACTGCTTCCTGAGCTTTCTCTGCAGCTGTTGTGTTGAGCCAAAGTTGGTGCGCTAATTTATTGCATTGCTTTCCTCTCTGCTGTGTGGAGCTGGTGCCTGGGTCAGTGCCTGCTTTAGGGTTGCAGACCTCCACACAGCGTCCCACTGCATGGTACGGATTTTCCTATGGGTGCTTGAAGATGGGATGTGGAAGAGCCAGCACACCCAGCCTGCCATATAGCTTAGTCACTCCTCAGGATTTGGCTCCTGCACAAACACAGCTACGCACTTCAGTACCCCGTCACGTTGTAGGAAAATTAGGCATTTTCTCACCAAAAGCAATGTGGTAGCAACATCCCTCAGAGCTGCCCCAGATCCCAGCTGTCAGAAGGATGTGGAAAGCCAGGGTTTGTCCCCATTTCCCCCTAGGAGAAAGTGAACCTATAAGCAGGCTCTAACCACCAGACTGAGGACTCTGCAGGGGAGCCTCTGCTGTGCCTGAAATAGGAACTGGAATCCAGGTCTCCCCATTCAGCTGTTAGTGCTTTAATTAGTTTTTGTAAAAGCAGTATATTCTTTTCCTGTTGAATAGGTACAAGTTTTATACAAAGCCAAAGAATACCAGCAGCAACTCTCATTTCAGAATTTGCAAGTAGGCGGTGGGGCACCCAAAATGAAATATCATTGCTGATTCAGGGCAAGAATTTGAACAAATGTGCCTCAGTTATCAGAAGAGTGACCTAGCCAGCACGCTGCGGCCTCTCCTGAGATACCAACATATGTCTTTTTAGAGCTGTTCTATTGTATATGAAATAATTACACTTTTAATATAATGATTTTATGGACAGGTGGTTATGACCTTTGCGTGGTGCTTGGGTTCTAGGCCAATGATATCAAAACCAATATAGACAGAATTTAAGTTAGCCCCCCCATGGTCGTCACGAGTACTTCTACGATGAAGATGCTATGCTGTGGGCAGGAGGAGAGCAATGAAAGTAGCACCATGCTAATCTTTGGGTGGATCTTCCTTTGGGCTCTCATTTGGGGTTGGCTTATCTACCCGCCACATGGATCCCATCAGATGTAATCTAGGATCCTAGCTGCTCAGCACTTGCTTAGTTCTGAGCCTCACTGGAAGAACATGTTTTGATGCCTTGCAAATTTTACTGGCAGAAATGTGTCTCCAGGCTTAGGCAGCAGCAGAGTACTGAACGCTACATACTTAGATAAGTACAGATGCACCCGTGCTTTCTCCCAGCGCTGGCTGGGCGCAAGCCAGCTCAAGCCTGGCAGCAGAAGAGCTGCACTCGTGCGCTCTCCTGAGGCTTTCATGCTTTGCCTTGGAGGAGGATATAGCAGCTTGGGACTAGCACTTGCAGGCACAGCACCATGCTGCTTCTGGATGAGTGTTAAAAGTCACGTTGCCTGTTCAGGGCTACAGCCATTGGACCACAAGTGGAGAAGGAGATATAATCCTGAGTAAGTTTGCCAGGGTCTTATGGGAGGCTAGTGAGGCTGGGTTTTTGGTAAGTGGGGACAGTGCTGAACCCTCTCACCTAGCCTTATGAATGGTCTTCACTGAGAACTGTGATCTCTGCGTAGAGCTGCAGACTATGACAGAGCAGAAAGTATATCATTGTGAATCTGAGAAAAAAATAGATTTGAGGGCAGAAGCAATTAAAATAGAGGGACTGAGCCTGGACAACAAATGGGTTTAGTATACATATCTATTTATATATAACTCATACGGCAGACCTGTGCAAAAGCTGGTAGGGTTAAGTTTGTTGGAAATAATTGCCTGTTGCCCCACGGTTGGTATAACCATGTCTTGTATAAAATGTGTAATGGACATACACACATTGCCAAAATATTAGTAACTAAAGTTAGATAACACTAAGAAATTAGTGGAAAAACTGGAAAATATTATCTGCGTTTTATCTGTCAGACCACAAACGAACCACTGAATTCACAGATTAGTATAATCCATTTCCTTGCTTCATAGTTTCTAAACTCCCCGAGGGATTTTTCTTATATTAATCCAAATAATGACCTTAAGGGATGAATTTTGTCTTTGGATCCCTGAGTTATTTACCTGGTACCATCATTATAAATGCCACTCCACAATAAGGGAGCTACTTTGTGCCAAATTACAGGCTCTTTGCCCTAAGAAGCTAGGAGATGTATGTAAATCTATGCAAGGTTAGTGTTGCTGAAGAGCCATGGTTTTAATACTGCAGTATAAATGCTTATTTAGGCAATCGATACTGATTTTCATATCTCATCTTAATGTAAAAACCATTAAATTAGATGTTATTTTAAAAGAAAATTAATACAAAGGTAGTGAGGAAATCTGAAGCTACAAAAACTGGAGAAGTAAGAAAGTCAGAGAAGCAGCTACTTCAAGAAGCAAGAAAGAGAGAACAAGAACGGGGCTAGTGAGGATGTAATTGATTTATAGACTTTCCTTCTTTCCTTAGTCTGAGCGGTGAGAGAAACGTGTTAAAATGAAACCAGGGCAAATGAAGACACAGATCAATTGCATGCACAAAGGACAGTGTTGCCCGGGGAAACTGAGGAACTTTGAGGAGAAATTCCTATGATCATTTGGGCCTTAAAATTCACATCATGTTCTCAAGCAAGTAAACCTGTGTCTGTACATTATTTCACCTAAATGCAATATAGGTAAACAGCTCCATACTGATAACGTATCAGAAGCAATGGATGTGTTATTAATTCTAGCCAGTACATGGGATGAATAATGCATGCATACTCCTCATAAGCTCATTTCAGATGGGATATATGAAAAAATTGGTGCTTGCATTAAAATCTTTCCCCTCTCAGACTTCACTGA